GTCTTCCTTATTCATTGTTCAGCTCTCACATGCATACAAGGCGATTGGAAATATCATGGCTTGTGTCAGGCGCACCTTAGTCCTCAAGGAGCTATCCTTGCTCCTCAGCACTTGAAACAGCTCCTTCGCCATTTAGGCGAAGTCAATAGCAAAGTAAAACAAAGACAACCAGAGAGATACCTCTTCCTTCACTTGATCAACATTGAGTTACAGGGCAACTAAGCATAACTGTAGGGGCCTAAGTAGTTTAGCAGGGATAACCAAGGGGAGTCCTAGGACAATACTGCAGAAGACTTCTTTAAAGTATTAAAAAGCAAAGATGTCACCTTGCGGACTAAGGTGAAACTGAGCCAAGCCATGGTATTTTCAATCTCCTCATTATGCATGCAAAAGCTGGAATAAGAATAAGAAGGAAGACCAAAGAATTACTAGGAGCTCTGGTGGAACAGTGGTTAAAGGACTCAGCTGCTAACCAAAAGTTTGGTTGTTTGAATTTACCAGGCACTCCACAGGAGAAAGATGAGGCAGTCTGCTTCTATCAAGATTTACAGCCCTGAAAACCCTATTGGTCAATTCTACTCTGTCCTATAGGGTTGCTATGAGTCAGAATTAACTCACTGGCAGTGGGTTGGGTTTGGTTTTGGAAAAATTAATAACTTTGAATTATGGTATTGACAAAAAATATCGAATATACCATGGACTACCAGAAGAACAAACAGAGCTGTCTTGGAAGAAGTACAGCCAGAATGTTCATTAGAAGCAAGGCTGGCAAGATTTCTTCTCACTTATTTCACACATATCATCAGGAGAGACACCATGCTTGATAAAGTAAAAGGTCAGCAAAAAAGAGACAACCCTTAAATGAGATGGATTGACACATGAGGTAAAGATGAGCTCAAGCATAGCTGGATGCGAGGAAGCTTGTGAGGATGGTGCAGGATTGGGCAGTGTTTCAGTCTGTTGTGCATAGTGTTGCTATGAGTCTGAATCTGCTCTAAGGCACTTAACAACAACAGGTCAAGAGATGGCTTGGCCAGGACTGAAATCAGGCCTTCTCTAGACAGTGGCTCCAAGGTCACCCCAGACTTCCCAATTTACACAAAGTGTCTGGTATATAGTAAGCACTAAAAAAATGGTAGCCATCATTTTTCTGGAAGTTCTGGTGGCATAGTGCCTAAAGCACTTGACTTCTAACCAGAAGGCTGGCAGTGCAAACCCACCAACTACTGCTCAGAAGGAAGGATGGGCAATGTACTTCCATAGTGATTCTGCCTTAGAAAAAAGGAGGGGTTGCTATGAGTTGGATCTGACTCAATGGCGGTGAGTTTAAGGGGTTTTTGTTTGTTTGTTTGTTT